GTCTGCGGGCGGGGCGGGGAGGGCGGGGTCGGCGGGGCGGCGGCTACACCCGTCCCCCGCCCCGTGCGGGCACCGCCGGGCCATGCACAACGGCCATTGTGTCTTCCTGCCGCGGCCCGGCCTACCACGATGGCGTCGCTGGCCCCTGTGGACAGGAAGATGTTGCTGGGGTCCGCGGGGATGCCTCCGTCACGCCTCTCGATGTACCGCGCCACATCGTCGCGGATCAGTTGGATGCCAGAGCTGACGCTGTAGGCCCCTGGGCCCGGGGGTGGAGCAGATCGGGGAGGGGGCAGGTGAGGGTGGCTGAGCCACGCTGCAGCCCTTCCGAAGGGATCGGCCTCCTCCGGCAGGCGGGTCCACCCCTCTCTGCTCCTTCCTGGGGCTTGGGCAGGGTCTGGCACCGGCACTTACCCAGGCTGTGGCCCTTGCAGGCCTGCAAGATGCGCTCCGCCCTTCTCTTGGCATCTTCGGGGAAGTCGGGGCTGCTCAGGAGATCCGGGTCTACACAGAGGGCCAGGACCTGGAAAGACCCAGTGCTGAGGCCAGGGCCTATGGGCTTGAGGATTGGGGGGCAGTGCAGGAGCCTCACCTGGCGTAGGAAGGTGATAGGCCTCTGCCCCATGGCTTGTGCATCCCCAATGTTGGCATGGATGACCTCAGTGAAGGGCTTCTTCACACCCTGTGAGGGAAGGAAGCAGACGGTAAGACTGGGCCCTGTCCTTCCCACAGCCCTTATTCCAGATGCCACTGGGGCTGGGGCCAACTCAGCTGCCCAGATGCATCCTGGAGGGTAGCAGGGGTCCAGGGCCGTACCTGGCGCAGCTCCTGCTCCAGCTCCAAGGCACGTAGCACTATGGGGCCTCGCACCGCATACTCCACCCTCCGCACGCACGGGTTCATGGTGTCCAGCGTCAGCACCTTCTCCTTCAGCCCATGCCTTGCAGCCTGGCTCTGGTCACCTGCCCTCAAGGCCATGACTCTGCTCACACCAGGCAGGAAGGCAGTTCAGGAGGCACAGGACACAGAAGTGGAGATGGGGGCAGCTGGATCCAGGCTCAGTGGGTCAGGGCAGGGGGAGGCCAGGTATGGAGGCTCAGGGTAAGAAAACACTGTCTTCACTGCAGTCTGCTGTCCCCAACTGACAGGGACAGAAAGGGCTGAAGGCACTGGGACGGCTGAGCCCCGCCCTGGGGAGCCAGAGGGAGTGAGTGAGGTGGTGGGTGGGGCTTGGGGTGAGGCCCAGTGCCCGCTCAGTGTCCCCATGACAGGGGAGCCAGAGACCCACATGGGGGTAGGGACAAATGGATGGTTCAAGCAGCTCTGAGGGACTGAGTGTGGGGTAGGGGAGGAGGGTTGAGCGCACGGGCCAGCAGCCCTGAGGGATTGGCAGAGCTGGGCAGGGGTGAACATGGTGATCCCCAAGGTGAGAGTGGAGCCCGGAGCTGCTGGAGATTTACCCCAGCAGGCCTCTGCTGAGATCTAGCCCTCTCGGCAACCCCATCTTGGCTTGGGCCAGCAGACCAGTCTCCAAGGTAACTGAGCCAGGCCTCAGGAATCCTGGGGGGGCATTGGGGGAGGGGAGTGAGGAATTCAGACTCTGGGTTCCATCCGGGCCCTCCTGGGCTGGCAGCCATGGCCTGGAGGCTGCGAGAGCACCCTGGTTGGACCTTGGTCCCTGATCAGCACGGCAAGGAGTTGGGGTGTTGGGGGGGGTAGGCTGGGCCCCAGACACATCACTCCTCAGCTGTTCTGGGCTGCTGTGCCCTTTCACCACGCACTAGCTTGGGGTTGCCCTTGGGGCCACATCCAGGCCAGGGGTGACCTAAGTTCCCCTTCCCTCTTGCTCCTGATTGGCGGGGAGGGCAAGAAGTGAGCTATGATAGGCCCTCAGAGCCCCACCTCTGCAGGCCCTACAGGGAGCTGTAAGGCCATGTCCAGGGTGGGCCTGCTCCAGGGCAGCCAGGCAGGCAGGTAAACCTGAACTGGGGGGTCAGGGAGCTGGCCCTCCGAGTGGGCTGTGGGCAGGTGGTCTGGCCCACGGGTCGCCCTAGCTCTTCTGTTCCCACTGCTGGGAGAGAAGCTGTCAGGAACCTTGAGTGGCTGGCCCACGTGTCTCTCCCCTCGCAGGGTTCTGCTCTGCTACATCTGCCTCTCAGCACACCAGGACCAAGGGCAGGTTAATATGGCCCCAGCCCCAGGCAGGGCCCACCCCTGCCCTCCCCCTGGCAGCCAGGCACCAGTGGCAGTCATAGTGGCGGGTGGATCTCTGGCAGCTGCACCACTCCACACACTAAATTTAACCAGCAGCCAGCCCCTGGCACTCCCCCAACCCTGCTAAGGACACCCCTCCAAGCACAGATGCTAGGGAAAAGGCAGTCCCTAGGGATACCAGACAGACCAGGTCAGTGCCCAGTGAAGAAGGGAGGGTGACCCAAACCCATGCCACCCAGCACTCGCCACAAAATGCTGCCCGCTGTGGAGAGGTGAACTGGCAGTGCCCTCAGCCCTCCTGCCCAAAGCCCCTAAGGGCCCCCTTGCCCTGGCACACTATACCAGCCAGCTCAGAGCCTGAGTGGCCACTGCTTGTCCCCTCTGCTAGCCCAGGAGGAAGCTGGCAGCCAGGCCCCAGGACCAGGGCTTCATGCCAGGAACTGGGGACCCACTGCTCACCCATGGAAGTTTCTGAGGCCAGCCTTGTACCTGTTTTGCCTCTCTGGCTCTGGCCCAAGAGTCTTGTGGAGACCACCACCTCCCTTTCCAGGCAAGGGACCCTGCCCCTCCAGCATGGCCTCCCCTTCCAAAGCACCCTGCTCCCCTCAGGAAAGGAAAGAGTTACAGAGGAGCCTCCAGGAAGCTGGAACATTTTGAGTGAGGGTGTGGCCTGGGCCTCACTCCCACGCAGGCCCAGGGCCAGAGCTGCCATATGCGAGCCGTGGCGTGCACCTACAGGCCTGGGTGCTCGCGGGGATGGGCGGCACCTGGGCCCAGCAGCACAACTTGCTCCCACTGTGGGGACGGTGGCCCAGCTGAGACACAACAAGGCTTGGTGGCAAAAACAGCCCTTTATCAAGAATCACTGGATAAAAAGTCTGCAGCTGGAGACCCCCAAGTACGGCTTCTCCCACAGGTCCATCCCTGAGAGGCAGCCAGTGTCCTGGGTAGTGGGAGCCAGGAAAGCTCCACGGTGGTTGCCCACCTGCAGCACCAGGGCACTGGGGAGGACTCCAGGGACGGGGTCACAAGGCAACCTCTGAGTGGCTTGGGGATGGGACCCCTGCCATCTTGAGCTGGCAGCCCTCACATGAGCAGGCAGCAGGGCCTCTTCTCAGGAGCCTCATCTGAGGGGGCTGTGAGCTTGAGCAGAGGTGGGTCCCCACCCATCCTGAAGGCACAGTCGGGCTGAGGGGTCTCAGTGTCAGCAGGCAGGCCAGACTCAGGGGTCTCAGGCCCCTCGGATGGAGGTCGCTGCAGCTTGGAGGCCGCTCGCTGACGCTTGAGCTCCGCCAGGGTGTGGTGGGCCTTGTCCCTGACAAGGGCATGGGGGGCAGTACTCTCCAGCGGGCTCAGCTGGTAGGAGATGCTCCGGTCTAGCCGCTTGGAGTACAGGTGCCGCCCTGGGGGGCCCCCTACACGGCCATTGTGCGGCCTGGCTACCTTGGGGTTGTCCTCCTGTGGGTAGAGCACAGCCCCAGAGGCAGTCAGGAAGCACCCCTCTTTCCTCCCTGGCCTCGGACTCCCAGCAGTGTGGTCGTGGAGGGACAGCCATGACGGGGCGGGGCACTAGCCCAGTCTAGGGACACAGGATCTTGGGCCCTACTGCCTACACAAGGGAGCCAGTGCGGAGGGCGAGGGCCAGGCCCACCCAGTGCTGGGGCAGAGCAGGGGCGGGGTGCTCACCTCTGCAGGCAACGGCTGGAGCTCAGCATCCGTCTGTCTGTCTTCATCGTCCTCAGGCGGCTCCGGGCTGGTGGATGGCTGTTGCCACACGATGGCCTCACGGGCATGCTCCTTGCGGTACAGGTTGGTGCGCTGGGTCAGGCTCGCCCGCCTCACCACCTTCCTGGGAGAGAGGGGGAGGGTCAGAGAAAGATGCCCCCCACCCCAAAGACTCTGCCCCAGAGTTCGACATGCCACTGACATTGATGGGGGGAAGGGGGATGGACGGGCAGCAGGGCCTGTGCCAGCAGAACGGGGCGTCGCTCACCCGCGGCTGCCCGCGCTGGAGGTGCGGCGGCGCAGCAGGGAGCGCTGGCGGCCCTGGGCGCGGAGGAGTGCGTCATGCTTGTGCTTCAGCTCCAGCAGCTTGGCCCGCACCTCCTCGTCCCCACACACATCTGAGGAGAAGGCGCAGGGGTCAGGGACGCCCTCCTGCCTGTCCCCTCCACCAGGTGAAGGCAACCCCCTGTAGCTCACCAAGTGGCGTCTCGTCCATCAGGGACTTTCCATTCAAGTCGGCCCCATGTGCCACAAGCAGCTCCACCAGGTGCACCTGCAGGTGGCCACTGGGACTGCTGAAGGCTGGGCCCCGGAGCCCGCCCCCAGTCTCCACCCTCGCCCCCATGCTCCACCCTGCACTCACCTGGCCCCAGTAGGCTGCTGCATGCAGCGGCTCCCAGCCGTCGCAGTCCTTGGCGCTCAAGCTGGCTCGATGCTCCAGCAGCACAGCAGCCGCCTCGCTGAACCCATTGGCCGCGGCAATATGCAGCTGCAGGCAAGCCACCCAGCCCTCAACTCCAGCCCCACGGCCCTCTAGCAGCAGTCCCCAGCCCCATCGCACCCTGCCCCGTGGCCAGTCCTTACCAGCGTGGCCCCATGGTCCCCAGGGACATCAAGGTCGGCCCCAGCCTGCAGCAGACTCCGGATATCGTCCAGCATGCACAGCTCTGGCACAGCCCGGGCCTCTTCGATGCAGTCCTGGGTGATGCCTGCCGGGCAGCAGGCTCAGGGAGAGCACATGCCATACCCCAACCCACTCAGGCAGGCGCCGCACACTCACCGCGGTCGGCCATGGCAGTTTCAAGGCAGTCCAGGGTCTGCTCATCCTCACAAAGGTCATAGGGCATGTTCCCATCGGTGTTGACTGCCAGGAGATTGGCGCCACTGCAGGGAGGACAGACAGGGCCGCTGGCCACAGGCTTCATATACCTGGCTCCTGAGCGAGGCCCTCAGCCTCGGGCTGCTCCTCAGGAAGTGCAGGGCAGATGAAGAGGAGGAGGCCCAGCCCCAGACACCACCCTGCAGCCGACCTGTCTGGGCTCCGAGTTCCTCGCACCTGTCTGTCCCCATCAACGTGCACGGTAGGCCCACCTGCTGGGGGGTGGTGCAGGGACTCTGGGGACCCCAGGGAGCAGAAGGTGGGGGGAGGGAAGCAGGCCACTGGCTGGAGAGCACCACAGAGCTGCATAGAGCCCAGAACACAGATGAGGGTGCCCATGTGCAGTGGAGGAGCAGGGCCAGGGAGCCCCAGGTGTTCCAGGGGACCTGCTTGTGGACCTCCCACCACTGCCCCAGCAGGCCTGCCAGCTGCACACCCCCACTGGCACTGCTATCCACCTGCACACCCACCTGACTTTGCCTGGAGCACTCCAAGGATGGTCTGAGCCCTGACCCTCTGTCCTACTGGAGGGGCATGGAGTTCCAGGGGCCAGGAGGGAGGGAGTCTCCTGGATCCTGCTGAAGCTTCAGCCTCCTCTTACTCAGAGGTGATGTTCAGGACCCCTACCCTGCTCTACCTACCTCCTCATTAAAAGTAAAGACACCACACGTGCCCAGGTGTGCCCTCGTCCCAAGCCCACCTGGCCTCTTCATTCCCGTCCTCCCCTTGCCCATTCCACTCTCATCTCTGACAGAAACAGCCTTTCTCTGTACAGACCCTAGGGAGGCCCTCAGGCCAGAACGGAAGGTCCAAATCTGCCCTCTTGCAGGAGGATGCATGTTGGGTGGGCCCTGAGCACATATGCATCCCCTGGGGCCCCGGGTGCTGCTCTCAAAAAAGGTAAGGGGTGAACGAACACAGGAGGCCAAGACCAGGCAGCTACAGAGAGCAGCCCCTCCAGGTGCAGGTGGCCGCAGGCCCTACCGGGCAATGAGCAGCTCCACCAGGTGCAGATGGCCACAAGTGGCTGCGGCATGCAGAGGCGTCCAGCACTCACTGTCGCAGGCGTTGACATTGGCCCCAGCCTCCAGGAGCTGCTGCACCATCTCGCGGAAGTCGTCAATGCAGCACTGCAAACCATGCAGCCTCAGCAGCTGCAGCCCCAGCCCACCCCTGCCCTGCCCGCCCCCAGCGTGGCTGACCTGGTGGAGCGCTGTCAGGCCATCCTCATTGGCCAGGTCAGGACTGACCCCACTCCCAAGGAACTGGCGGACTGCAAGAAGGAGGAGTGAGGTTGGGTAGGGTCTTGTGGCAGCCTGTGCTGTCCCTGTTCAGGCCTCTGGGCCAACTATGCTGCCGCCCAGGGATCAGGAAAGGCAAAAACAGACACAGATAGCAGGAGGCACACCACAGCCCAGGGTGAGGGCTCAGGAGCACTGGGCTTCCATCTGCCTCCAACCTCTCAGACCCCCAGGACAGGTCCTCCCCTGTATGAGCAGCCCTCCAGCACTGCCACACCATCCCCCAGCCCAGAGAGGAATTCCCGCCCTGCAGCTGCTGCAGCCTGGAGTGCAGGTACGGGAGGCACATGACTCCCCAGACACCAAGAGCCTTCAGAACCAACACTGAGAGCCTTTAGAACCAACGGGACCCTGCCCCCGTCCCCCTGACCAGCAGCACTGGGCCCGTCTGCCCCCGTCCCCCTGACCAGCAGCACTGGGCCCGTCTGCCCCCGTCCCCCTGGCCTGCAGCACAGGGCCTGTCTGCCCCCGTCCCCCTGGCCTGCTCCCTCTGCTCTTCCCTGATGACTAGCCCCAGGCTCCTCATTCCCCTTCAGAGGTCCCATCTCAGGCTCTCACCAAGGCCACCAGGTTGTCCCTGGCCATGCAGCAGGACACGCCCTCCCTCCTACAGCTCCCCCTTGGCCCACTGCACACCTGCAGCACCTCCTCCACCTCCGAGCCTATTGGGAGGGCATTGCCCACTCCTCACCCTCCGCCCTAGAGGCAGGCAGGAAGGGGCCCTCAGGAGCCACCAAGATGCCTCTTCCGCCAGACCCCATGGACCCAGAAATGGAACCTGCACGCAGCCAGAGAAGCAAGGTCAGGACACAGGGGAGCAGCAGGAAGCCTGTCAAAAGCTCCAGCCTATTATCCAGCTGGGAAGGTTCCGACACAGAGCAAGGAGTCAAAGGCAGACTCAGGGGTAGGCGTGGAGAGGAGGCCTGCCTGTGTGGGATCCGGGCCTCACCCTAACCTGGCTGGCCCTGTTTTCCAGCTCTCTAACCCACGGAGATGAGCATTACCATCCTACTCTGGAGGTGGAGACACAGGACCCAAGCATGCAGGGACCAGGGCTCTCCTGAGCATCCCAGTACCAAGCAAGAGGCAGTGACGGCTATCACGACCTCCAGGCTAGCTGAGCCCAGTGCAAAGCACCCACAACTAGCCCACCTCACAGCAAGACCCCTCTGTGCTCAGCCCCTGCCTAAAGGACAGCTGTCCTGGCACGGCCTGGCCTCAGAGCTGCCCACAGCTCAGGGCTTGCATGTGGGGGCCCCAGGGCCGCCCTGTGGCCAAGGAAGCAGGCTAGATCCAGGGGCTGGGGGCCAGGGCCCAGGAGCTGTGGACAGGACCAGCCCCAAGCCCTGCCCAGATGGATGGGGAAAGGCTGTCCACTGTGTGCTGCCCTGGGGCTCCACCACACTCACCTTCCTCCAGGTCATTTCGAGCAGCGGCCTCCAGAAGCGCAACACTGGGAGGGAAGAGGACCTGCTTGTGGGGCCCTCGGCCAGCTGCCTTTTTCTGTGGCTGCTCCCCATGGCCCTGCTTGACCTGGGCCTCCTTCTCAGCCTGGGCCCACATCTTCACCTGCTGGGCACGTCGCTTCTGGGCATGCTTCAGCCGCTCCTGGGTGCTCATCCTGCCCACCATGGGCATCTCTGCCAGCAGCTCCAGGTGCTCGGCCATGGCGGGGGCTGCTCGGGCACCAGGGCAGGGAGCTTGGGAGCCAAGCCAGGCTGAGGGGAGGGGCAGCGGGCTGGACTGGCACCCTCGGGGGCATCCCCTTCCCAAGGCTCAGTGCCCTCTGCCCCTGGCAGATCTGGTTTAGGAGGCCCCACGCCGTGACCAGGTGCAGGCAACACTGAGGGGCATGGGCCCCAGGCAGGGAGGGCAACGTGGGAGGGCGCCCGCAGCCTGCTCTCCAGGTAGGCTCCTCAGCTGCCCAGCCAGCAGGGCCTCCACACAGGCAGCGCCTTGCCTCCGGCTCGGGGTCAGGGTGCACAGCCTGTGGGAAGCAACCTCAAGATCTGGCCAGCCTCAGTCCAGGGTCTGAAGCTAATTACCCAGATGACAAAGTTCCAGCTCCTGGCACTGTGCCGAGGGAAGGGAGGGGAGGGCCAATGCACAGCAGCCCCTGTGAGCCCCTGACAGCTCTCGGCTCACCTCCCAGGCCTCAGGAGCCTGGGTGGGGCCTGGGAGCAGCCATGGCCCAGGCCCCTCCCCTGTCTGTCTCCACAGTCAGCACATCAATACCAATGAAGAGATGTGGCTGCAGGGGCAGAAGTGTGGTTAGTCCTGGGGTCCCAGGGCCCAGTGCCCAGGGTTGAGGCTCTCCGGGCAGCCAGGGCACCGAGGGCACAGGTGGGCCCGTTGCTTGTGTTCTCAGGAGAGCCTCTCCTTCTGGCAGTGTACACACCTGGGGAGCAAGGAACAAGGAAGCAGGTGGAGGTGGATCCGGGGCGGGGCACGTTGAGTCTCAGGGGAGACTGGGCTCCCTGGGTCTCAGGGTCCTGCTGTGTGAGGCCAACCCTCTGCCCACAGCGAGCACTGCAGGACAACAGTTCTGGGGGTGTTCTGCCCCACATTCAGGAAGGGCAGGGGAAGGGGCACCTCAGGCTCCCTCCACCCTTTCCACAGAGGGCTGCCCAAGGCTGTGCAGCTCAAACAACAAAGGCAGGAGGATTGCCACTCCCAGCCAAGCCTTCCCCATGAGGCTACCCCTCCAAGGCCAGGCACTGTCCCCAGGCTGGGTCTCTTCCTCACCAGGCTGCCTGGCCCAGGCATCAATACTTCAGCTAGCCCGGGTCATGTGGACGCAGGCACAGGTGGCCCTCCTAGCTTGGGGTCTATTGGGACAGACAGAGACATCCCTGCTAAAGTACCCACCACAACCTCAGTCCTACTCAGCACACCAGGTGTGGTCACTAGTCTGGTCACCCGCTGTTCCTCAGAAGGCACTAGCCATGCTCTGCCCAGAGGATGCCCACGGGGAGCCCCATTCTCCACTCAGCCCGGCCTTGTGGCCATCTCGGTACTGACCCACTTTTCTCTGGCAAGACCTACACACAGGGGTCTCAGCAGATGCCCCCTTCTTTCAGGAAGGGTGCTGTCCTGGGCCATGTCAAGTTAGGTCAGTCAGGGGCCCCTGATTTCACAGATCTAACTCTGCGAGCCTGGCCTCAGAGGCTTCCTGGGGGCAGGACCATCAAGTCATGTGGCCCCAGCCCTCAGCCTGGCTGACTCTCTGCCAGGTGAAGAGCTTTCCCAGGCAGTGCTCTCCCTCTGAGCAGCCTGCTCCCAGGTTTGGCCACGTCAGACCACTGACGCCAGAGCAGGCACGGACTGCCCCGGCTCCCCAGGCCTGCTCTGGTCCTCTAGAGAAACAGCATCCCCACTGGAGACACGCCAGGGGCCAGGTGCTGCAGGTGTCCTGCCAGCTCCCCCTCCAAGAGGACAGGGGGTTCCAGGCGCCGCCTGGACGTGGCAGAGCCTCCCTCCCTGCTGGCCACCACAGTGCACACCCTCCTCCCTGACAGGGCTGCCACGGTGGGACCTTCACCTCTCTGTTGTCAGCATCTCTGGGCCTGCCAGGGAAGCTGACTGGATAGCAGCCCCCTGCCCTCACCTCTGCCCAAAGAGATCACAGCAGAGTGCCAACCGCTGCCCGGCCCCCAGTCTCCAACCACCAGAGAGAAGATGAAGAAGATTTAAGAGACGTCACCTGCCACCTCTATCATTTAATAGAAGAAAAGACATTCTGATGCCCTGTCCTACAGAAAAAAACAACCTGCGCGCAGCAACTGCTTTTCAGGTGGGGACACGCTGTCTCTTGATTTTCTCATTCTGAGGCACGTCCACAAGAATTCATCAGGGAGCAGCACCTCGGGAGGCCGAACCTCCGGGGCCACAGCCCCTCTGGCTACAGCAGGAAGAAAGGGCAGGAGGCTGGTGGGCTGCAGACCCGGCCCCCCAAAGCCCCAGGCAGCATGAGAAGTCTGTCCTCCCTGCCACACAGCTCACAGGGTGCTTATCCCCTGATCCTGGCAGGCCCCCTTCCAGGAGTCCTGGGCCACCTCAGTAGCTGCTCTTTGCTGCAAGGAGACTGCCTGAGGGCAGTCTCCATGTGACCTCAAGCTGGTCCCTGCCCTGCCTGAAGGCCCAACTGCATGTTCTGAGATAAATGGAGGTGCCCAAGGTGAGTCCATCTCAGAGTCCCAGGGCCCCACCACAGAGAGTGCCCATCCCGGGACAGGCCTCTATGCAGGCGGCCTCTCCGTGCCCAGATCCCCTGAGGCTGAGCCCTAGGCTTCCAGCCCTCCTTGTCCCCTGGACGCTGCCTGCCTAGCCTCCCTTCCCAGAGGTCAGCCTCAGAGGGATAAGGCCAGCCAAAGGCCAGCGGCAGCAGGTCTGAGGCTTCCAGGAGAAGAGGGTGCCTCCCGCCTACCTGAATCTTGGCTGCCCCAGCTGAACTTCACCAAGCCTTGGACCCTCCTCCCAGCCACAGGACGAACGAGGAACAGCCTGCCAGAGCCTGGAAGCCTCAGTCTTGGCCGAGACACCGAGCCACAGTGGCCTACTCCAAAGAGTCCCACCAAATGGCCACCACACCACACCAAGGCCAAGAAGGTACTGGACAGGACGGCTCCCACCCTAGTCTACAGTCCTCCCCCAAGCTGGTCACCTGCTGTTCCTCAGAAGGTGAGGAATCTGTCCCTGGAATGTCAAACAGAGATAATGTGGTCAGTTTATTCCAGAGCCCAGACAAGCTGCACAGAAGTGTGAGACCCAGGTGGGGGCGCCTCCTGGAAGGACACTGGCCACTGCCCTCACTCCCACCCCACCGTCCCCACTACCACAGCCTTCCTGCCGCAGGTCCCTGACATCATCCTCTTTTTCCACATGGGGAAGTTAGGGCCTTGCTAAATCCAGAGTCCCCTGTTAGCCACTGCACCATGAGAGCCTGTGAGAGGCAGCAAGTACCGCATTATTCACCCAGGGGGGTAAGGGGTAGGTGGAGGTCATGCCCTGTTCAGAGAGAAGAAAGAAACAAAGAGCCAGACGGAAGAGTCTCAGGGACATGCTGAGAGGGAGGACGGGGTGCAGGGGAGCTGTGTCTGCGAGGAGGGCAGGAGATAGGGCCCACTGCAGCCTCCCCACGCTTGTGGGTGGGGCTCCATGTAGCATGGCTCTTTGAAGGGGCACACTTGACGGTGCACCTCCAAACCTGAAAGGCACACCTTCTGACGGCCCCACTTCTAGGACCCCCTACAAGGCCCCCACAGCAGGTCAGGCAGGGAGCCAGGGTGGTGCTGTGGAGGTCAAGAGAAGAGAGTTCTCTGCCTCCTGGGCTGCGTGCTGCAGGGCAGGGGCAGCGTCAGGGCCGGGCCCAGCACCCTGCCTGCCAGCCCTCCCTCTTTACAACCCTGTGTGCTTAGGCTTGTTGGAGTCGGTTCCTGTGACCACCAACCAAGAGTTGGTTTTATTTGTAGCAATACCTATAACAGCAAAAAATGGGAAGCTACCCCGATGCCCATCATTCCGGGAAAGGTAAATTACGTACAGCCAATCCATAGAATAACATCTATACGCACCTGTCTGTCACACAAGGAGAGGTGGATCTCAATGTCATGGGCATGTGGACATGGACAGGGACTCCACCACCCTGGTTAAAGATGTCACACGGACAAGCCTCAACTATTTTCATGGGCAGAGAGGACTCTGCGGATGGGACTGCAGTGACAGACTCTCAGTGGGGCCGCTGACGCAGGGCTCATTAGCAGCCGGGAATCCTGGGACATGCTGAACCTCATCCATAAACTGACCCCAGTACCTAGTGTCCCACCAGGGTGAGGGGAGGCCCTCCAGCCAACTGCAGGTCCCTGTCCCCTCCCCCACCCTGGCCTGGCAACCAGCAGTTCACCTGTGAAGACTCTGCCACTCAAGTCCAGGTGGGGGTCTTCTCAACACCGCAGGGAGAACTGCCACCACCCCACAGCGGCACCCCCCCGAGGGCGTTATCTTCCCAGCTGGCCTCTTCCACCACACGAATGGTGTGCTGTGGGCACGACCACTTCCTGCTCTTCTGCAACTTTCAGCCGTGTGCCAGCACCTGGAAGAGGGGCCTCTGTCAGTGTTGGTGAGGGGCTGAGGGAGCCGCAGCTTCTCAGAGGCAGGCACAGCTCAGCATGGCCAAGGAGACAAGCCCAGGCCCAAGGCTCCCTGTGGCCCACACTGTCCATTCAGGGAAGGAGACAAATGCCCCGAGACGCCGGAATGTGACAGCAGCAGCTGTAAGGGGCCGCAGGTGCTGGAGAGGAGGCCTGGCTGTGCTCTGGGGGCAGAACAGGAGGGGGACAGGCTCCTCCCTCACACGGCATGTGGTCTACGTCTGGGGGACTGCAGAGGATGGCAGGACGTGCATCTACACATCACACCACATCACGGTGACCAGCATGGAAGGCAAAAGGACGTCCAGGGCAGAGGAAGGAGAGGCAGCACTGCAGGGGCCTCTGCAGCCACAGGAAGCTCTGGGGAGGATGCCCACCAGCAAATCGCTGAGAAGAGACAGGGAGGGTGTCTCAGGTGGGTGGGCTGCTCCAGCCTGGACTGGTTACGCCCTGCGGGCCCACAGGGTGCTCTGAAGCAGCAGCAGCCTAGGGAAGCTGATGGCTGGACAGACTGAGGGGTGCAGTCTGGGCACTTTCGCCCCTGCGACCATGGGAGGCAGCACGGCATCCCCATGGGGCACGGTGCGAGGCCCGCCTCCACTCTGTCCTGTCCTGAGAAGTT